CCTTTCGTTGTCAATTATTGACTGGAGAGATGAAGAATGACATGTGCTTAAGTGCATCAGTTATCTCAATTTCCTTCCCCTTAGGCCCGACTTAGCCAAGATTTACCAGAACAGGCACCAAATGAAGAAGTTTCAGTAATTTTTTGTTTTTCAGGTGATAGGAATTTTCTTCTGCAGACTGACAAAAGGACTGGAGCACAGTGAGTTATTATTACAACCACTTATTAAAAAAAAAAAAAGACAAAAGAACGTGCTGCAAGATAACAAATAATACAGCCCACCTTGTGCAACGCAGTAACTTCTTAATGCTACAAAAAAACCCAGGGATGATCACAGTCCTGAACACACACTCACAAAACCATTCCAGATTGCAACTGTGAGCACCCATAGTCAGTTCAACAGGAAAAAGTAAGATACAGTCTTTTAAGGACACGACTTTGATAACTCTCTAGTTTGAAGCCGGGGATAAGTGATAGGTTGGACATTCCCACCGGGGAAATAGGCTAGTTACATTGGAATGGGTTACCCTTTGCTATTCAACATCTCAGCTCCCTAGTTACCAGCTCCAAACTAAGGTGTTTGCCTCAGCACATGGTTGTTTACACAGTGGCTTATCTTACCTTGGTGAGATATTTGATACCAATAAAACATCCGTCACACTCTGTCCTACTGCTTTCCTTTAACTCAGGGCAAGGCCCATCCCTCTTCCAAAACCTTTGACAGCTTTGAAATATGCAGTGTTGCCATTGGTGTAGCTCAGGGGCTGTGCAGTGGTTGCTTTCTCCAGAGGCTCTGCAACACCTCAGTACTTCCCCCTCTTTGAACAGAGGTGGCAAAATCCATAATTTGTTTCCATTCTGCTTGGCTGAAAATGAGGAAAAGTTCGGCACCCTGTCATGGAGATAGTTAAGTGAAGAGTCAATACATGAAGGCCTCTGCACCAGGAGTAGCCCATAATAGGTGGTGGCAATGTCACAACTCAGCTTGTTTTAAAATATAGCACTTTTTTCCCCCTTGTTTTGTGTGTGGTTTTTTTCCCTCTGGGTGGAGCAGAGCTGGGAAGGCGATGACTTACCTGCTAGAGCTTGGTAGATCGCAATCTGGAACTGGCAGAGTGTTAACACAATGCCCCAGCAGAGCTTTTCTGTCTCTAATTTCAATGATTATGTTGTTACTGGATCAGTGAAGAGAACCATGAAAAACACAATTACCAGGAAGCCCTGTTCCTCAGCTCGCCTCTTTGTCTCACTGCGAGTGGGGCATGTGACTCACGGAGCAACAGAGGCCCGGCTGTAATCTCACGCACTGCCGAGAAGGGTGCTGTCCTCCCATGGGACCCAGGCGTGGGAAAGCCTGACTGCCAGCTGGAAGGGCCAGTCACATCATGTTTTGCAGCTGGCATCCAAATGCATCCTGATGAATCAAGTGAGAGCAGCTACCTTCTCCTGCCACAACCGTGGCCGAGCAGCCGTGCAGAAGAGGGGCTGTAAAAACCTTCCCGCGTGCAAAAACACAGGGAAGGGATGTTGTTGTGAATGAGCTTACTGTGACAGCACAGAAATGTTTTATAGGTCACTGGCAGAGCATCAGACTACAGGGAGAGGGGATGAGTATCTTTCAGCTGTGAGTGCTGGTCTCAGGTTTGCTCAGTGCAGGGCCATTCCTTGTAGGCCTGACCCAACCCCTGTGATGCGTAGTGGGCAAAAAGAAATTCACTTGCTCTCTGCACTCCAAATCATGTATAAACCTATGACCTCAACAACAAATACCAGTAGCAGCAAAGCAGCCAATATTTTTATCATTAATTGCTATCAAAAATGTCAGCTCAAAGTCATCAGATTTGATAGGCGAGCATGCTCCAAACTGACGGCTGAAGTGAATTATTTGCCTATTGCGTGATGCAAAAACAATGTCTTGCAGGAGAGAACAGACATTGGCAAACAAACTGACAGCAAGATATACTTGTGGGGAAGGCTTCTGATTTGATCTGGAAGGAAACACTGAGTATAAATACAGAGAAAGTTTACCTGCGTGAAAGGTGGGGTTGAGCCATGGCTTGGACTTCCTTACTCTGCTGGAGAACAGTGTGAAACATACCTGCTATTTTACTCCCTTTGAGCTGTTCTCATTACAAAAAGGTACCAGACACTTCAGAAAGTTTTTAAAGTAATAAAGTGTTTTCCCCCCCATCCCTGATGCATCCATTTATCAGTGACTAATGAGCACATAAATTCCAGCGTGTGAAGAAAAATCCCTTCATCTTGGTGTTAAGCAGAATTTTCCCTGCCCATGGATCTGCAGCACAAATATTTCTGGTCTTTCTGTGCTGAGGGTCTAAACATGGGCAGACAGTACATAGTGCAGCACTGGCATACTAATAATGTAACTACGAGGTACTACAAATCAGGACCTGTTTAAATACTGGTATAGCCATGAACATCATCCAGGACATGCTTCTGGACTGTCTTTATTTCACCCAGTGGAAAAAACCCCATATGGAAGCAGGATTCCAGTGAAGGGAAAGTTAGCTATGCCTGCCAGGAGTCTCTTTTGCCCCCAAAAATTCAGACATCACGGGACATAAGCAGAAAATGAAAGAGAACCAGCGAGGGGAAAACCAAACAGGCTGGGGTCTTCTTGCCACTTCTTTTGAAGTCCCCAGTGTAACTCCTGGCATCTTCAGTGGGGTTTGGCTGGGCTCTGTGCAGAAGCGCCTTTGAAGATTTTGCTAAGGCTCAAGGCCTTGATCATGGCAACTTTTATGCCTGTGAGCAACTCTGTGCAGATGAACACTTCCAGGGTGCTCAGCAGGATGCTTTGGATGAGACTTTGCAGGGCTAGTCTTAAGCAATGAGAGCTTAAGAGAAATATTCTGGTTGTCGTGCTTTTATCCTTGACCACATCAAATGAAATGCCTTGGCAGTTCTGAAGAATGAATTTGCATTGAAAACCCACAGCTCTTACAAGCAGTGCATTAATTATTTTATTAATTTGCTCTTTTTACATTATGGGAAACATTCATCTATTTACATTTTCCTGTCCACACACAAACCAGATAGATAATCCTATGGAAACCCAAATCATTAAGCCATAAAAACACTCTTTTCTGTCTAAAGGCTTTCAAATTTGTGTCTTTTGTTTCAAATCAAAAACATTTTTAAAATCCCATTTGGGAATGCAGGTAGGCCAGTGATTTACATTCTACTTAAAATATTCATTTGACAGTTTTCCTTAAAAAAAAAAAAAAACAAACCAAAAAACCAAAAAACCAAAACCCCCAATAAATTCACAATGATACAGTTTAAATTAAAGTGATAGTGCACATCAAAGCATTAAGGGAACACCAATAAATAAAATGAAATATATTACAAATAAATTATTTCTATTTACCTTTTCAAATATTAAAAATCTTTAATCCATTTCTTCATCTTTCTTTACAAAAAGATTATGACAATTTTATGGAAACATCTGCAAAAAATATAATAAATACCTCTTTTTTTTCTTTTTAAATTTTTGAAGCAGGAGACAAAACCAACCTTGTCTAAAATTTCCCCCAAGAAAAAAAAAGCAATAGTTTAGTCCCAAAGTGAAACAGAATATAGGCATTTTTAAAATACACTGGGCAGTTTAGACTAAAAACAATAGTTACAAATTATACTAAAACAGATGATGGAGCAAATATACTAGCATTAGTGTTTGTAAATGAGTCAAGTGGTTAACTAGTGGCATTCTCTGGGCAGAATTATTTTATTTTGTATTTTCTGGTATTGGCTGTATTTTTAATATTTTGCTAAAAAACTAGGCAAACATCATAATAACCTCTCCAGTGCCAAATGAACTCGCAAGCATTCAGCTAAGAATAAATTCATTTAAAATAGATACAAAAAATATTCTATGATATACAAATACAATAATTTGTAATGTACAAGACTAGATAGTCTTCACTTTTCTGCTTTTTTAGGGGAGAACTTCCTGGATATAAATTTCTGTAGCCACTTGTCAACCAAAGTCTTAACTCATCTTTCGTAAAACGTTCACAAAACTAAGTAAGTCTGCGACACAGTTGTGAATGTGGACTCTCACCTAGGTACTGCTTTGAATACTTCAGTACAAATGAGTTCCAAATAATTAATACTTCCTATGACTATATATGCTCAAAAGTGGCAGTTGGCACTATTACATACTGCAAACACGGTGATGTTTTGTTGCTGCTAAAAGTTAAACGCAGTGTTTCAAAACTAGCAAATACACTGGTATTCAAATGCTTATAGGGTCAAACCTTTTGAAGCTCCTGTAACACCAAGCACTCTAGAGTTACACTGGATTTCTGATTACTCTAGTTAAAAGTCTTTTATATATTAAATTATTAGCCCTTATCTTGTAAACCACAGCAGTAAATATTTGTGCCCTGTTTATAAAGACATAGCTCAGATATCGATGGCTTTGAGAGGTAGCAAATTCCCTAGTGGTTTTAGTATGCTCTCATGAAAATACTTGGTGCCAGAACCTATTACCTCTCCTATTTTCTCGAATAAAATTAAATTAGCACCTGGCTATGATGTCATAGGAAAAGAAGCTGTCTGGCATGGTCTCGATGAATACTTTTAGCAGAGCTTAACTTTTCGATGACGGTTTTCAATGCTTTTTAAGTGCAAGCTGCAGAATTGCGCCACATGTGCAGTGGGGTTTTTCACTGGTTGGACTGTCCATACAGATTGAGCTGCCATGAGCACAGCCAGCCAGCACTGGCGTGCAGCAAGGGCTGCCACCTGTGCCCTCCATGGTGGGGCTGTCCCTGTGCCTGTGCCCACTGGGAGCAGAGAGCAGCCTGCCTTCCTCTCCCGCGTACCCGTGCCCTGGCAGACAGGGTGAAGAACACGTAGGGAGCAGCAGAGGAGTCTGGAAAACATCGCTGCAGGACTGCATACGCACTGAGGGCAGCACAGCGCTCCTCTGCTCACACCAGTCCTGTCCCCCAGAGCAGCCCTGTCCCCCAGAGCAGCCCTGTCACCCAGAGCAGCCCTGTCACCCAAAGCAGCTCACGCTAATTCTGCTAGCAGCAGCACATGCCAGCTAGACACACATGTGCGCACTCACACTCGCTCGCTCGCACGCACACAACTCGCTTTCAGCAACATGCCTGACATAGCTTTCCTAATGTTGGCACAAGAGATTCCAGTAGCAGCGTGGTCGGCATCATTCCTCATCAGAGGAGCTGGAGGACAAGCCCCTGTCCCAGCCAGAGGTGGCTGGAGGGGACAGACACACAGGAGCTGACCTCTCAGGCTCCTCTCCAGTCCTATTATCTGCCATTTCCGCCCACTATTAATGAGCTACTTAGGATGCATATTTTTCGTGATTGCAAAACAATGGCAGAAGCCAGGGTAGGAAGGCTTGTCGTGAAAAATATTAAGTTCATATTGATCCCATAACTTGTGAAAAATAGCCTATTGTTCTTGTTCAAGTGAGTACGTTATACTATTAAGAGGAGGCTGAATTAGAAATTTACTCCTAAATATGGACGGTTTCATGATAAGCAGTCTGAACTGTAGCATACAACCAGCTGTGGATAGAGCAAAGCAAGCCTGGCCTGGAAAAGCATCGGAGGCTCCATGTACAGTAATTCACCTACAGGTGTCCGTGTGTGGCTGCGTGGACGTATGAGATTGGATGGTCCCACCGAGATTAAGACATCAACAAAACCAAGCTTTTTTTTCTTTTTTTTTCTTTTTTTTTTTTTAACCAATATAATCCATACAATACAATACAAGAGGAATTGACAATACAGTACAATTTTAAAAATTCTTAATACTTGGACAAGAAAATCCTTCTTTTGTATTATCTCTTCAACTGTCATTGCTTCTTATCTCCTTCCTTTTTACTCTTTTATTGCCTTTCAAAATAGATTATTTCCCTGGAAGATCGAATTTACAATCTTCTGCTGATTGAAATGTTAAAAGTAGTGATTGATGAAATAAAAATGAGGCAGTTTGTGCAGCTGTGAGTGTGCAGGTATCTTTCCACAGGATCCTTTATATCCTCATCATCTCATCTGAGGGATATACTTCCACCTTTTCACCTGCCAGAGCTGTGGGGTTTCTTTTGGTCCCCCCCTCCCCGCTCCCACCCCAGCTCCCTCCCCTTGTGTGACTCCTTAATTCAGGTGAAGATGTGATTTGGAGGTTTAGAATAAAGTGCGCCATCTGCTTTAAAAAGAAAAAACAGTAATAAAAAGAAGGGAATCCGAGTCATAGCTCCTTTCATCTTTTGTGAGGAAGACGGCAGAGTCTGAAAGGATCACCCTGCATGACTGAAAATACCAAAGTCCCCTACAGTTTGATATTGCTGTACACTGGGTAACAGACTAGCTTTAGATCAACTAAAGATCATGAGTAAGTTAAATGGAGCATCTACTGTACAGGTGCGCGGGTGTGTGGAAGTCTGAGTGCTGCGTTTATTTGTTCCAAACAGAATAGAAAAAAGGATCGTGCTCGTTTACATGAGGCAAAGTAGCAGCATCAGTACATGTGACAAAGCATCGTGATGACATGGGTGAACCTTCAGAAAGCAAGGGTGATTAGAGGACATCTCTCGGAGGACCGACAACTACGCCACGGCAGTGGAGTTCACTGAGAGCATCGGGGCAGCTGCGTACAGAGAGAGGGGAGGGGGAGAGTAGGGACAGAGAGCGAGAGAGAGAGGAGGAGGTACAAATACTTCGTGGTGACCTTGAGCAGGAGCCTAGAGGGGCAGATTATACATGAGGCTTGTCTTGCCAGATAGAGTCCTCCCGGCTGGATCCCTTCATAGCCTGGTCTGGGCTTCGGGGATGTATATCTCAATGCTTTCGGCGCTCTCGGTAGCTGAGTTCTGGCGAACCGACGCAGCGCGCTTGGCAGCCATCAGCCGTTTCCGGGCCTCCTGACGCTGCGAGCTCTCCAGAGAGCGTTCTCGTATGAGTGGCACCTGACCTTTCGATGGCTTCTTTGGCACTGGAGGAGGGACCCTTCTCTCCTGATCAAAGCAGAAGGTTAATGGCATTATACAGCTTCTCAGGGAAAGGCGGGAAAAACTAGGATATATCAGTAGTTAGAACACACATTTTACCTAAGGTTTGTTAGCTCTTATCTGCCTTTCTGTCTTCAGTCAACTGGCTTTTGTGCTCAAGGGTTCATAAACATGGGGCAAGGGCAAAGGGGAGGGGAGGGCCGGCCGCCGTGCTACTTCTCCTCGGGACGGTGCTGCCGGGGCCGGGGCCCCCACCGCTACCTGCTTAGTGCCGGGGACTAGGAAAGAGACCGACCTCCCGCCACCGGGGCAGCCGGGAGGGAACGCTGCTCTCGGCAGAGGAACTCTGGAGAGCCCCAGCTCCCGGGCCACCCTCTTCTATCCGTGCACAGCGCTAGGTGCTCCTGCAACACCGAGGTGCCATGGCTCTGGCGTTCCCAAGTGCAGATGGGAGCTAGCTGTCTGCAGCTGGTGCATCAGAATAAGTAGTTTTTTAAAAAACACACCACATGTTTATGTATCTACTTCGTAGCAGTTTAGTGACTGCTCAAAAATCCCATGCTCAGGGTCTTGCTTTGCAAGCTCATAAACTCTGGCCTTGAGCTAAATAGGCATGAAGCTACATTCAGCTAGAAATAGAAAATCTGGTAGGAAAAACTTAAAAACCGTTAAGAGAACATGCATTAATCATCATGGTGGCAGCTAGCTCCAGATATGTGGCCAACAAGGAGGGCTTTTATGTATATCCTGGTGCATGTACACACACATACACATAAAAAACCAAAAAAAAAGAAAAAAAACCCACAAAAAAAACCCAACCAAAAAAACCCCTCTGAGAAGGATCTCTCTCATAAAAGAAAAGTGTATTCAGAACTGAATTTCAGGCGTCCACAAAGACTTTGTCAAGTTAATTAGATTGTCTTTTAAGTTACATCCCCTTCCAACTGTGAACACGGTCTCTGAGCGAAGGGATTTTATCACACTACAAAGGTCCCATTCTGCCCTTTCGTTTTCTCTCATGCTGCTCACAACAGCTTCCATGCCTCAAAATATAAAGGTGCTTAGTTACACTTATTCATACTTTGCTTTTTCTCTCCATCCAAGGATTAATCTATGCTGCTTAAAAAGGGCCCAGTGGCAAAGGCCAAAGGCAAATATCAGTTCCACAGAAAGTTTTTTCTTCCTTTTTTTAAAAAAATCCTTTTTAAGAAAGGAGACGATCTGTTTCATCTAAAATCATAGACAAATGCTGTTGAAACAGGAACACAGTGTAATTCTTTAAAATCTTTATCTTCCTACTGTAGGTCCCTTTCTTCAGCACTACTTAACTTCCTTTAAACTGCTATAGTCTTCTTTTTGTTGGAAACCCTTTGAAATGTTTTTCAGAAGCAAAGAAAAGGCACATTTTTTTTTTTCAAGGAAAGCTCTCATTTCTTACTGCTACAATTGCAAACACTCAGCCTACCCACTTTACTGTAAAAGCTAATGAAAGACCATATACCAGCATTTCTGTGCATGCATGTTTGGCAGTTTTAACTTCCTTTTCTGATAGATACTGGAAAAAAAAAGAAGATAAGAAAATGACTTGCCTTCAGTACCTTGGGCAAGGAAAACACATTCCCATTCATTCCCCTACAAAACACACTAGGTGTGCACAAATGGTGTGAACATGGCACTTCTAAGTCAGGAATGAATATTTAGTCTTGATTGGAGGAGGAGGAATAGTGCTACCAGCACTGCCTGTACAAGTTTCCTGCTGCAAGATTAACGGGGTTTGATATTATTATGGTTATTTGTCCAAAAGAAAACACCACTTTGGTCATCGGCAGCCAGCTGACCATAAGTTGAGGTAGCCAGGACTCCTGTCTGAGCCACTGTACCTGCAAATTGTGCTCCCCCTCCTTCTGGTGACCCTACCTGTTGGCTGTGTTCATTGCTATCAGACCAGTCACAGCGGAAATTCAGCCACCAAATTACATACCTACAGCAGCGCGACATTAGACTCTTGGTTCCTCTAGGAATGGGTCGGTGCCCTAAGGATTTTCTGAAACATTTGTGTATTTTGGCTCACACAACACAAGTGCTGTTTGTCTTGAGGTGGATAGTGAGGAGAAAAAAAAAAGGCGATGGTGCCAAATGAGAATGTAACGTGAAATGTGACATACACTTGGATGTGGTAGTTTTTCATGGTGACGGAAGAAGACTACATTTATCAAAAAAAAAAAAAAAAAAAAAAGGAAAAAATCCCCACCAAAGCTCCAGATGACTTTATGCTACCTCAGGTAAACAACAATACCAGGAAAGTAAATGTGTTTGTGAAATCACCCATTTAAAAAAAGCCCAAAATAAATAAAAAACAAACAAATGGACAAAAAAATGTAATATTTTCATGTAACATTTTGGAAGGCATATTTTTGATATTGCTGTTTGTAACCTGGCTACCAAAGTCAGCAATGGTTACAGTGCTTCCCTGTTTTTTTCAGTAACACAACCTAGAACTCTTGCTGTATGCAATAATATGAACCGTAAATGTGATTTATTTAATTTTAAGAATCAATATATAAGGCAGTTCCTTCCAACGATTGATCATCTAATATGATTAAATGTAAAGCTTAACAAAGTACCACATTCCCATCATCCGATTCACAAAGACAGGTTTGGTTTAAAAATATGCCTGAAACATATTACAGATAATATCCCAGATGATTATTATGTAAACATTGTTATTACAATGAAATTAATTTGATATGAGCTTCATTTCACATTTTTAACGTCAACGCTGTAACACAGAGGCCTATTTAATCTGTCCAGTATTTGTGCAGGGTTTTAAATGAAGCATACAAAATCTACAGTGTTCTACCTTCTTGTCATGAGGATCCATCTGTTTCCAATTATTGGCCTTTAACTGATGAAGTTCATCAAATTTCATACTAATATTTTCTATGGACAACTGCAGCATATCCCAAAACCCTGCTAAATCCTGGGAGGTCGGCCGTGGATGTGCATTAGGATTCTGTGTAACACAAGAAAAAAACACGTTGGCTTTAGTATTTCTTAATGTAAAGAATTCATGCAAATGGTTACAAATCTGGCTAGCAAAGCAGTTTGAGCAGATCCAAGTGATGGTTGAGACCCAGAGAGAGGAGCAAAGCAAAGCATTACTTACTGGTGGGTTTTATTTTGAGGAATCTGGCTCAGCATTGAGCTGTGTGCCCTGCAAACACCCACTCACCAAAGGCAGCAGGTTCCCCCCACAGACTAAGGGTAAAGGGCCCCTGTGGCAGGATCTGCCTAGGGATGTTCCTGGGCACAACTGGTGGCAATCCTATCTGCACTGAAATGAATTGCCATCCTCCTCTTTCATGAGGAAGGATTCCCCACCATGCTCACACTTGTAAAAAAGAGTGATACATGTGCAAATACTGATATACCAATGTTTGAACACTTTTTCTGCACTCTGAGAATGTAAGGTTTACAAAAATACACTAAGTGACATTTTCTCTTAGAGATCTCAGGCCAATTTCTTCCTTTTTTTTTTTCTGCTTGTCACAACTTGTGCTGGGTGAAAAGCTCAGAAGACTGCATGCATAAGCACAGTAAACCCATTTTTACAGGCAGATTTTTGGGAAGAATGAAACTGGGACAAAGGTGGGGAGCACTGCTTTGTGTGTGCAAGCTCATCAGCCCAAGAGCATTGCTCAGAAGTGTATCTGGACAGTCAGCATCTTCAGCACAGCTTGGGCCAGACCCAATAAACCCTGTCCCTAAAGTGCACCCCAGCTCTGAACACTTTTTGCATGCAGTGAGAGTACCCAAAACCTAATCCCTGCTCCACTGGCAAGGCTTGTATGAGGGAAGGCTTTCTACAGGATGTGTCCCTATAAGCTTGTTCCCAGCTGAAACTGTTTAATTAAAATGAGCTGTTGCATGCACACACTTCAAGCGTGCTTTTTCATAAATGCCGAGGAGTTTCTACATCAGTCAGCAAGTCTTTGTGGGTGCTGTGGCCTTGTCAGACTACATTGATATATTGTTATTAATTTTGTTGTTAATAAAGAAATAAATAAATTATTAGTAGCACCTTGCATGATGTTTTACATGGCTCAGGTTTTATTCTGCCTTTAGTTTTCTTCCTCTTCAGAAGTAATAAACCCAAAAGAGTCAGCTGGTTGCCTTATAAAATTTCTATTTGTGCTTTTCATAGTCCCACTGACAAAGGATTTTGGTGGGATGATTATACCATGAAAGGTGCAATTATTAAAAACAATAAAGTATATATTTTTAGAGTCATAAGGAGACCAGAGATTACACTTTTATTCCTAGTTTTTCAGAGCTTGACTCTAGCAGGCTGCAGAGTTGTAGGCTGTTATTTGCACAAAGATGTGCAAGCAGAAGGCTTTTTCAGTTTTTATATTAAGAATTGGAAGTCTTATTAAGACAGAGCCAATTTCTGTTGCATTTTTCCACCGAAGCAGATTTTAGTTTGGAGCTTGTTTCCTAAGAGCACCTGGGAAAGCTCAGCTTGGGAGATTTCTGATCCACCCTTAAAGACCTTAAGGTATTTTACCCATCCGTGTGCCCATGAACTCAATGTCAAGGGACAGATCCTTGCTCCTCTAAAGTCAGTAGAAGAGCCTCAGTGATTATTCACTTGAAGCTTTTTGCCTTTATTATAAGGGTCTCAAGCTATTGTGAAACTCATGCTGACTGACAAATCTGAGTTACTCCCAAATTCATATCAGGGCCTTTACTTGAAAAATTGCCATGTTAGTCAGAAAATCAGTTTAGTTTATGTAGGATTATTCACAGGGTTAGTAAAAGGCACACGTTAGTATCTAGCAGAAAAATTACATACCAGGTTTTCTTCACAAAGTTCTCTGAACTGGTAAAATTTCTGAGCCATGAGAAGCTGGGCACTGCCCACTGCAGTTCGAATTTTCCCTAGAACTGAGAGAAAAAGAAGAGTAAGTCACAATGCTTTCTTTGCTGCAGGCAAGTAAAAGCCTATAAAAAGAGAGGAGAAAGCTGTGCAGCAGTCAGCTCTGGCTTTCAAAAGGTATGTTATCTTTCAGCCACAAAAAGAGAAAAGTTGATAAGTTTAAGATCAGATCTCCATGAGGCAAAAAATATGTAAAAGGTTGCTGCACCTTACTCTCAGTGAGGCCAGTTGTAACCAGTTGTAATGACAGTGTAAACGTGGCTAATCCAAAGCTTCTGCAGGCTGTATAGAAAGCTCACCAGAAATGTCACCACTCGTATCACTATGACCCAGGCTCAGGCTTTGAATACAAACCCAGCTCCCTGCACAAGGACATGCAGCTCTCAAACTCTGTTTGCTTCTCCACCTCACTTAGCAACTCAGGCCTCACTGTCAGGTGTAGCTGAGTGTTGCTGGACCAGAGCCCCAGCAGGGGATGATTGTTTTACTGCACGCCGATGTATCTCATCTGGACCTTCTGAGCACTTTCCATGAGCACAACCCAAGGCTGCTTCTGCCTTTGAATTCAAATGCCCAGGAGTCCTTCAGGGAGCAATGGCACCCTGGCCTCTCCTCCTTGCTGCTGATTTGGAGGGAGGTGTCAGAGTCCACGTGCAGCTGGCTGAGGACTCCTTTGTACAGACAGCTGGGTACTTGTGGCCCCTTTGGGCTGACCGAGTGCTGTGAAGGGCTGCAGTGAACCAGAAGACAGCCCATAGTAAATGCCTCTGAATAAAGCAGGAGCTCACACTGTTTTGGTTGCATTCAGACACTGGGATTTTACAGCGGTAGTTGGGAATACACTGCCCAAAACGGAGCCATAGGCTGGTACATTCAGGGGCTCCCTGGGGAGTTCTGGTCCGGGGGAGACTCTGTGTGTGTGTACCTGTACACATGTGTGAACACACGTGTATGTGTGTACATTTGTGTGTGTGAATAAAGAAGTAAGAATGCAGAAACAGCGAAAAGGCAGACATGGCCGCAGCTGGCAGTAAGACAGTGAATCCAGAAAACAAGAGTGTGAATTTAGGGACTGCTGAGGGAAAGAATTGATGCTCTGAGGAAGATAGCAGCCACCGATTTGTTTGAGATTTCCAATGCTCAGAAAAAACCCCAAAAATGTCTTTAAAAAAAAAGGTTGGCATTACAGATTTAGACAAATCTGTAATTTGACTCCTCATGAATTTTCTCTCTCAGCTGAAACAACTTATTATGCCCAATTCTCTGGTTAACAAGTGATTAAACAACTAATTTAAATGATTTTTTAAAATATTACCACTTCCTTAATGAAAAACATGAATGGCAGCCACTGTGTCACAGTTCTCACTATTATTTCTACTCAGAGATACTCATATTGTCCCAGCCCTCAAATAGACACAGCAACTTTTCCGTGACAAGTTTACTACCTGGATATAAGAGACAGGTGAAGGAGGAATGGGGAAAACAAACAGAAGAAGAAGCCAGCTCAAGGTGAGTGAATTGCTGGTAGAGCCTAGAAGAGATACTAGTCCTAAGCTGCCATCTTCTGCACCATCCCTTGGGCACAGTCACTTTTCGCATGAAAGTTAAGACAGTTTTAACAGAGTTCCCCTGGGAAAATATTGTGAAGTATTTTGATGTACCACAATGAAAAATAAACAAACACATACATACATAAATACATGCAACTTTGCTATAACCCCTTCTAACAAGATTTTTAGCATTTCATTGGTCCTGTGACTGGCTGCAGTGCTGGCTACCAGAATGCCACCATGCAGTGCTTGGTAAGAGAAAGGCCTCTCCAAGGGTTTGAGTAGCCACATGATAAACTGAAACTCGATACACACTTATATGAAATCTGTGTTCTCCTCCTTCAAGGCAAATGGATTTTCCTTCACCAGCCTCAAAGCTCACTTCTCAAGGCTGTTGAAGGAAAAGTGGGTTGTGGAGTTCATTTATACTTCAGATATACAAAGGGGGGAAAAAGGGGGAGGGAAGAGAGTCTTTTCACATTTTTTTCTGAACCTATAGGAGAGAGCTCTGTGAACACACACAGAGCCCCGACTTTCATTTTGTTCCCAGAACTCAGCTCAGCACTGCCAGGAAATAGCCGTGAGCTGGAAGATTCACTAAGCAGAATATTTTCAGCATATTGCGCAGGGAGTTTTGCACACAACTCTAATTATTGTTAGCAAGGCTTGCGTGTCTAATTCTATGCGCACAGTGCTGAAAATGGACCCCTTGGTGTGTCTAGTCATTTATGCAACCCAATATGCAAACCACTCAACTGAAAGGACTTTTCAATAGTAGGAGGAGCTACTCCGAGAGCTTTCATGTGGTTCCCATTGTTATGAAAACTCTTCCCACTGAGTATATTTGGGAACAGCTGCCTCATCTGGAGTTCGGCCACTCTGACGCTTCCCAAGACTCGAGAAGGGGAGAAAAAAGTCTCTCAACTTCTTGGGATTAAAAAAAGAAAAAAAAAAAGGATAAAAAAGGTGATCTTTTCCTGGAAACCTGCACCAAATGATTTGGAAATCACATCCCAAGCATGAAGAAATGTATATACAACTTGTTGATGATGGATGGTAATGTGCCTCTTTCTTTGGGGGAAGAAGAGCTTAATATTCAGAGATCTCAGCAGAGGGAAAAGGAAGTCCTTGTCCTTGGCTGCCTAGTGACTGGCTATTTGCCTAAAAACCATCATCCCAGCTGACTGCGGGATGCATGCTGATGCTGTTCTCTATTGTTGCCACTTCTGCTGTGGCTGTGGCTGTATCTAGTCAAGTGTCACTGATTCCTCGCCCCTCAAAAGCAAGGGGTCTGTTAATGTGCAACTGGTCAACAACCAACTCTGTCACGGAAGTTAGGGGGGAAAAAAGACAAAACACAAAGCATACAAAAAGCTGAAAGGAATGTCTCTAGAAGACATAAAGCCTTATCAATAGCCTAAGTTTTGTTTCCAAACCCATGCTGCTTTTAGTGTTTCAAGGCACAGTGCTCATTTTGCTTACTCAGACAAAATCTCTGGTGCCCCACAGAAAAGCCAAGGTGTAGTGAAAAATCAAAAGCAAAAACAGACCAATAGATTTTCTTAGAAGAAAAGCCTGCAAGGTTTGAAGCCAAATACCAAGAAAATAAATGGAATTACAAAGATAATACTCAAAACAAATCAGGAAAGAATCAGAGTAATCTTTAACAGCAAGGGAGATGGGGTGCAGGAGGAAAAACACATAAACATTCAAATTGCTGTGTTCAGCTAATAGGATACAAAGAAAACATATGAAACCAAGCAACAAAAAATCCCAGCCCATCAAGATGCAATCATAATGGATTTAAACACCTATATAATGTTATTCATATCTGCTTTCTGTTCCATACAGGACTATACAGCACACTCAGCACTGTTGGATCTGAATGCCTTCCAGTAATGCATTAAGCAACATTATTAACATCCATCATATGCTTTGCTGTCACCTCTTCCCCAGAGGGAGAACTGTGTGTACTGCAGTGTTTTGTTTTAATAGTTTGAATTTTTCCCTTTTTTTTTTCTCCCTTCTTGCTTTGACCTATCTTCCTTGTAAATCCGGTTCTCTCCTGTGACATTTCTTAAGACATGGACAATTATGTCTATTATTGAAGAACTTACAGCTCTTTTGATGGAATTCAGCTACTGTGGAATGCCTCCTCACTATTGCTAATCTTATCTAGGAATCACAGAATATTATTCTAGGACAGATACATGACAGTGAATATCCTTGTGTCATTAATTCCCCAACATGTTCTTATTTTAAAACATTCTTGAAAATAGACTTGGACTGTTTGCTGTTCAAGCAGTAAGTTCTTGCTTCTCTTGGTTCTAAGAATTGCACAGGACCTGTTTTGAAATTGTGGAGCTCTATTTGTTTCCCTCTTCCGTGTCTTCATTGGAAAAGAAATAGGAAAACAACAAAATAAAAGAATTGTGAACACAAGCGGAAAAAATAGTTGTTGTCATCTGCTCTAACTAGGAAGATGACTCTGTGTATAATAAGGATAACAAAATATAAGAAAATAACAAAACCCACCTGAAGTGATGTGAAAAGTAATCACATAGAGAAACCAGGGGAGTTTTGAGAGGGGACAGCACTATTTGGCCTTAAAACCCCAACTGATGTATTTGCATTTGAACTTTGACAGGCCTCAGGGTCTAACAAGTGACAAAGGAGGCACTTTACGACTCCTGACTATCAAATGCCCTTAACGTGAAAACACCTGGTTGATAGGCAGGGCCCAGGCTAGGGAAGGGAATACCGGGACTTGCTCATTGCCCCAGGAGCAAGTGGCAGGAACAATAGCTGAAATTACAGGGACACAGCCTGACATTTGCGTTGCAGATGTTGGCCGGGCACTATGCATATGAAGCAATCCTGCCACAGAGCTGTCACAATCCATTCCCAAGCCAGGATGGACCAGCATTTTAGCCTATTCATGTTGACAGACCTACATTTAAATAACGCCAAGTATGACAAAAGCCAGGAAATTCAAACTTAAAGCTACTGCTCAGGTATTAAGCTCAGCTGTTAAGGAGAAAACAGCCAAATGGAACAAACTAGGGAAGGAGCAGTCCTTTCTTTGAGTCATATATACTTACAGGAGTGATCTCATTGAAATTAATAAGGCTGTCTGCATGAGCAAATGCTTCTCATTTGGATTAAAGCAGTTTCCATGTGTTCTCTGACTTACTTGGCTTTTATTAGCACATTTAATGTTTTTTTTTTCCCTAACTAGATCGTTTCCTTGCTTGTGGATTTCACTTTTTGCCTTGCTAGCCTCTGGGCACTGGTAGGGCTTTCCTTGCTGGCTTTCCTTTGAGAAACCCTCGTGTAGGGAGAAGTCCCTTCTGGGGACAAAAGAAAACCAGAACAAGAAAAGGATGAGTTGGGCATATGGCCAGAGGCACGTAGCCAGGGGGATTCCAGCAGGACTCGGCCACATGACAGGCTGGTGACCATCCCTCTGCACGGCTGTCCCAGCCCACGGCAGGATGAGGCTGTCTCACTCCTCGGAGCAGCAGAGGCCGGGATTGCTTGGAGAAGCCCTGCAGAGGAATGGCACATGGTTTTCCGTGCTTATGGCTGAGTGTGAGCTCATGGGTCTCTTTTTATTTTGCCATGCACAACTATTATGAAAAATGTACCTTTTCCTAAACTTTATTCTCTTGCATCTAACCTTTATGTTTTGTGTTTTCTTTTGAAACAATTGAAACAAACCAAAACAGCAGACAGTGTGTAAGCATTGCATAATTTGTCAGAACTGGATGAATTTGTAGAGGCTCTGGTCCTGAGCAGTGAGGTTCCTGCAGATTTGAGGTCAACCTTTATTCACACACTAGCCCAGAGGGCTACTGTATACACACAGGAGAATTATAATGACAGGTCTTGTGAGAGCCTTGGTTTTCTGTTTTAGTTTTTACACGATTTGGCCTGGCTTTTCTCACCACTAAACCCACATTACACCTGACTTGTGGTGAATCAGGCCTGCTGTTTGCTTCTGATGGTTATCTTTACACCAAAGCCACAGTACAACCTCATGTGAAAGAGAAACTTCTGGAGAGGGGGCAGGGGAAGCTTTATGATTCTTCCAAGAATGTCAATATGAACAACGGCAAAAAACCCCACCAAAGACAGGCCAAGGCCATAGGAATATGTTCCTGTGCCCACCCCTGCTGGGAAAAAAAATGGTTGGAGCTGTGCAGGGAGCCCGGTCTGATGGTGCTAATTTTGTATGTAAATGGTGACAATAGAGGTCTGAGCCAAAAGTCACCAACAACTGTGGTGAGGCTCTGATATTTGAAATTTTACAGGGGAGAGGTAGGAGGAGCAAGCAGATGGTTGAGGAAAAAAACCAAAAAAAAGTCAACAGTTGATTTCACTTGAGGCCTGATCCAAAGCATCAATCAAGTCTCACAAGGTGTTTAGCCTCAGATGTGTAACATCTTTTCTTTTTTTTTATGAGAACACTAGAGTTTGTAGCCAACTTCCCTGTAACTGCAAAATACACTGAAATCACATCAAGTATGTTAGCTTAAAGTGTGATTGGTGTTCATCTGCCTGTCACACAAGCTGCAGCTTTATCAGAAAATTATTTCAGATAGAACCAGAATATACTATCCAATAAATAATTCATGGCAGAATGGAAGCCACATTTCTCTCTATATTGGCATTTCATCGTGCAGCCGCTGAACCACAGCTTGTTTTTATACAGAGCAGCAGACTCCATTTCCCAGCTAGAAACATTCAATCCCATCTGGTAGATCCATTCCCAGCTAGATAATACCCTATGTATCTATGTAACATACAAGCTACTGTCAAACAGCAGCGAGCCGTCTCCCCGAGACAGCTGTTCCGCACAAGGGCCGCATTGTCTGGAGGAAGCGCGGATCGTTTTACGGGGAGCGCCGGGGGGATGAGCCCTCTGTCAGCTGCCATGGCATCGAGAAAACCTCGCTCATCACACGTTCTCCTTATTTTGTTATCTGGCCAAACACATGCTGGGCATGTCAGGTTGGAAACAAAGGATGCATTCCCCGCTCTGGTTATGTTTCATTAGGGAAAGCAAAGTAAACGCACCTCTTCTGCTCCTTTCCTCTCTCTCTGTAAAGTGTAGAGATGTATGAAAAAGACGTTTTTCGGGGCAGGGTTTGTAACAACCAGGCTTTTGTTCGTGGCACTGCTGAGCGGGCAGAGTGGCCCCGGCCATATGCTTTTCCTTGGCACCAGGTAGAGCGGGACGCGCTGGGGCAGAGCAGAAAGCCCTGCACAGCCTCTGTGGGAGGCAGCTGCCACGTGCCACGGCAGCTGACAGCGTCACACCGAAATAAGGACTGCCACAGCGGCCACCAAACCCAGGTGACCCTTCTCCTCCTGCCCCTTCCAGTGACCACGAGAAGCGCCAGGACACATGCCGGGTGTGCTGTGAGGGGGCATTGGGATTAGCTAGCCTAACCATTCCTTTATCTTCCTCATAACTGACCCCTCCCACTGATTGCCCAAAGAGCCCTTTAAAACTGTCTTATATCAAAGACACCAAGACATTGAGAGAAAATTCTGTACAGATAGGAATTTTCTGCATCTATCAGGCTCATAAAATTCACTTCATGTTCTTTTCCTACGACTTTATTGGTGCACCAACTACCTTGGTGCGCAAATAAAATATTTATAGGTTTTTCCAGTATTCTCAGTTCATAGAATGACAGAATAGTTTGGGTTAGAGAGGACCTTTAAAATCATCTAGTTTCAGCTCCATTGCCTTGGGCAAGGACACCTTCCACCAGACAAGGTTGCTCAAAGCTCATCCATCTTGAACCCTTGTCCTTGAACCTTTCCTTAACCTTCATGTCCTTGAACCCTTCCAGGGATGAGGCATCCTCAACTTCCCTGGGCAACACCATTCCAGTGCCTCACCACCCTCATCATAGAGTATGTTCTCCTTATGTCCTGTCTAAGTTGTTATGATTTATAAAAGTTGTGTGTTTCCTGTTTGTTAAGTGTTCACACTTCTTTTTTAATCTAAAATCTTATTGTTCACAAGGTTTATTTCTTCATACTACAGAAACAACAGAAACTCTTTTATTCTGATACATGTTCAAAGAGATTTTTGAATGCATTGATGATGTGAGTTAAAAATGAGATTCAAAAATTCTAGAACTTGGGAAATCTGGATCTGCTTTTAAGGTCAAACATTCCATATGTTTTCTAAAGAAGAAGAAATTGTTAGCCTATTGTATAACATAAATTTTATATAAATATAAAACCTTTACATATCTTAAAATTCAGGTTATCTTATATGTGCCATTAAAATAAATTTCCAGTTGCTTACAATTTTGTCCAACTTTGACTATCTAGATCCTACCTTTTCATTCACTGGGTTGAATGGAAAGTTCCAGCAGAAACAGCTTGTGCATTTCTAAGATTTTTTTTCCAGTGTTAATTTCTTTCATAAATCAATACCTTTACATTTCAGAAGAATTCAAACATATCTCTTCTTGAAAGGAAAGGTTAAAAATTTTTAAGAAGCAATTCTGTAGCTGAAGTAATAGTAGTCCTTGCTTTGGTAGTAGCTAATTTGGGAGTTGGAAAAATATTACTTTTATACTCAGGAAAATATGCTTAGGCATGTCTAAATTATAAAAAACTGAATTCTCTATAAGCAGCTGCCTCTTAGCGTTTCCCAGAAGCTCACTTCTAAAACTTGAAACAGCCTTATTTGCAAGGAGCATTTTCACAGATTTACCTCTGTCTAAAGTTCACAGCTAGCAATAGTGCTGTTCCTTGTAAGAGATATAAATGGAAAAAACCCTTCTATTTTCACTGGGAGAAAAAATTCTGGACTGGGAAACACATGCTCATCCCTTCTGCCCTAATTAGAGTAAACAAGTAAGATGTGAACTACTCAGCCTTCAACCCTTCTGGGTAATGAAGGTTTACTAGACAGCCCTGTTACTTTACAGGTAGGTTAATGTAGCTGACAGTGGTGACAACTGAGATGTAGTTTGCATGTGTATGATTTTTTTATCACACAATATGAATAACTTCTTTTATTGGGATGGTCAAAGCAAATGAGAACTGCAAGGGAGATGTAGGGAGACTGGAGAGGGAAAGAGAGAGGGAGAGGACAATTTGGAAGCATAACTGTAATCTCTTTCAGGAGGGAGAAACATCTAAATACTCTTATGCCAATCACCCTCTGAGAAGTCAACTGAAATATGAATTTAATTAAAAGGAACTACAGTCTGTTAAACTGTATTCTAAAGTTATGAGAAGTGATTTCAAACAGAAGAGTTAAGAAACATTAATACTACAAGATCCCTAACCACACTCTCCTAATTATCCGTTGAACTATGCAAACCCAAAAACGAATACCACTGGAGTTTCAGAAGCGCCGAGCATTTGCATTCCCTGTCAGCTTTAATAAGGATTATGATATACATACATACAGTCCTTCTGAGAATCACAACCATAGCTTCATTAGCTAAGTAAGAAAGGGCACAATACAGAATTCACTGGAGTGAATTTGACCTCTATTAAATACTTCTTTGCAGTTGCAATATTATTGTCTGTGGTTACTTACTGTCCTCAGGTAAGTTGTTTTCCCGTTCTTCTCTCTCCATTTGTTGGCACCACCCCTCCATACGATCTCTCTCTGCCTGAAGTAGCTTCAGAAACCAGTGGCCATCTCGTGGGCACACTGACCTTTGAACAGCTTCCAGAGGATCTTCAGTAATAGAGTCAATCCATGGGTCAGGAGGAGGTAAAATGGATGGATCAAAATCTGTCTCAAAGTCATCATCCACTGCACATGCATGGTAATGGTTTCCTGACCCTTGTATGCTAACGGTAGAAGTGCTTGCATCTCGGGAAAACTGTCTTGATATTTGTCCAGAACATGTATTGTCCTCTTGAGGGTCGATTATTTCAAAGTTCTCATGGAAATCCAGGTCTGCTTGCACAGCTGTTGTTACACTATTAGACCGTGTAAACCTGCGAAAGCTTTGGAGAGCACAAACAGAAAATGTTTAGAAAGTTTTTTCTAAGCAATTCAGCATGGAAGGACTTACTAAGATTCTGCCACTCTTCCTAAGACTGGCAGTCACACCTCTCAGTGCTACACTCAGGTGTTTTTTTTTCTTGAAATGATCAGCATAAGCTTTTTTTCTCATTGCAAGCAAACAAACAAGCATCTCTCTTTTTCCATGCAAACTCACTGTTTATTGAGACAAGGACCTCTAATTGTTATGTGATTTAACAAAGCCAGAGGCCAGCCCAAGAGAGAGATACCAGTGCCAGCAGCTCAGGATTTTAGGTTACTGATTAATGAAAAGTTAAAGGGGCCCAATTTTCAGAAGTGGTTTATCATTCAAATTTTTAAACTCGCACCCACTCACACATCCAAACTCACAAGCCACATTTAAAAATCATACATGTGAAATCAGTAAGATACTAACACCAATGAGTCTACTACCTATGAAATATTATACATTCCATTTATACAAAAAAGTACTTTAAACTCAGATAAATATTTTTATTGCTTCATCATAATTATATACCTGCCATCTGTAACAATTTCAGTGCCCATTGCCAGTGTCCAGACATTCTATTTTTCACATTCAAGCTTCAGTTTCAAAATTATCTCTTTTTCCCCAAAGCTAGCACTCTCCTGTCTGTGTTGCTCTCCTTGTGATGGCTGCTCTCCTGTAGGCAGCTGCATGTCACCTTGCAGAGCTCCCCTGTGTTGGGGCATCTGAGGGCAAAGGCAGGAGCAGGGGAGAGAGGAGGTTTGGGTTGGGTGGGTTTTCTTTATGTAAACAGCACTTTGGATTCTGCAGTCTGAGGCATCTGACTGAAAAGGCTGACAGAGGAGGAGCACAGAGAAGTGTAAGGAGTGAAAGACAAGGAATGAGGAATGTTGTTGCAGGAGGTGGTAATGAGAGCCCATTTGATAGCAGTGAATTGTGGAGGTATGAGTGGAAAATAAGTGAGGCAGACTGCTGTCTTGCCTCATGATGAAAAAGAAGGTAGAACCATAAAGTAACCACAGATGTTCCTCAAATCTGTAATATTTAGGGTTCAAGATGAACAGTTTTGAACTGAATAGGGACAGATTCCTATCTCTTCTTCTTACAAATCCAGGATGCCTGTGCACTCATGCAGTAGTTATTCTCCAATTTGTTCTCAATCTCACATCTACACTGAAACTAGTGTTAGGACCCATTACTCTGTGATATTTTGGCTGTTTTGCCATTGTCAGTTCTGCTTCCAGTTTGCACTCAAGCAGCAGTGAAAATGCTGAAGAGATGGAGGAACTGGATGCTGGGCACCATTTCACTTCCCTTCTTTTATATTCCACCTTCCACTGAAGAGCAATAGCCAAATAGACAAGTACAACTGACAGCAAAATGTCATCAAGTGTGTTTAGTCTGCAGCTGGTGAGGGAGCAGATGGAAGGATGCTGAGGGAGGATTTAATGTCCTATATACCTGGTCCAGATAGCTCAGGAGAACTGTAGTAGACTTCAAGGAGGATTGTAATTGGTCCTGCTCATAGAAGAAATGAATGGCTGTTGATCTGGGGCTTTGAGTGGAGTAGAGCAAAGCAAAACTGGAGTTGAGAAAGGTCCTCCAATTAGAAAAAAAAGCCCATGATGTTAATTTGAGCCTTCTTCTGCAGAGCAAGAAGGCTCAAATTAACATTTCAGCCATATCAGTCTCAGGAAAACTTTAATAATAGATTGTGTACATATTTTTTTAATAATCAGAAGCATTTTAACATTGTGCCTGATGCTTGCAGTCTTTCATAACAGATGTTAAATGATACAAAAGTCATGGTTGTGCCACTGTAGTTGTGCATGACATGCACCAGCAAACTGAAAAATAAAGAGTGTACAGAATCTCCAGCTTGATAGTATTTATCCTTTGGAAAGCAGAAAAAGCATTTTGTTATGGACTGATACAGCAGAAAAAGTTAGAAAGGGAGGAAAAAGGTCACTGGGGAGGTGGAATCCCTTCCACAGGAGAAAAGGTTTAGAAAACATGGCTGAGCAGAAGACTATGGGAGATCTATGAAATTCTGACTAGGGTATATGTCACCATTTCTCTGAGTGCAATAACTGTGGGACGAAGGCAGCCAGTTGCAAGGCTTAGAGGTCTGAAGATCTACATCTGATGAAAGGAAGCACTTCTTCACACAATGTAATTAAATTGCCACAGAATCCTGGAAAAAGCAAAGGTAAAAACAGGTTCAAAGGGAACTTGATCAAATTCACAGGAAGAGCCATTACACATCTCATATTTGGCTTAGGAAGTTCCTGAACAACAGAATACTAAATTGGGAATGTCTACTGGGAGAACTAGTGCTTAGTTCACAGACTTTATACTTTACACACTCTCCTTTACACTTTTCCTAAGTATCTGCTATAGGTTCCTGGCAGAGAAAAGCTGTCATACTGGTATGAGTGATTAGAGAGACACTAGCATTAGGCTTACATTACAGTGAAAATCTATTGTGAATCCAATCCATGTTAGTTTTTTTTTAGAAATTGCTTTTATTTGACCACCAACCTGACAAATCCCTTATCTGCACTCAGGTATACAAACACACAGAACACACACAGAACACACACACAAAAACATGTGTGCCCACACAGGCCCATGCTGATTGAGGATTTCTTTTTAGTCATTTAGTCAGGGTTCACTGAGAGCCAAGGCATTAGTACACAGTGTACTTTTCCACACCTTCCATAGCACTGGTGAGAAAAGCAAATGCCTTAGTCCAGGCTTGCTCTTCTCCTGGTTCCTTCCTCCATGTCACAGCCACCTTCTGCCTTCTCTGGTGCCCTAGACTCTGACAGTCTTCTCTTTCAGATGACCACTTGTGTTTTCAGTTAACACCCTGGCTTTTCAGTGTAGGCCAAAACCCAAATGTGAAAGCATCAAAGTCTGCTTGACAGGAGGATGTATTGCTGGGGGCTCTACATTTCAAGGTTTTCAGGAGTGTGCTCTTAACTGGGCTCAGTATGAGCTAGTACCAGCAATCCCAGACTCTGCTGAACAAATGAAATAGAATGACCTACTTTTCTTGCCTTTGTTTTATCTATATAATAGTATGCTACAGGTTTGCATGACAGTTTCTTGGCACTGGATTATGTAACTTATCTGTCTTCAAAAGAAAAACAACTTGGCAATAGAATATAGCATCAGTTCAAAATTAAAGGAAATGTATTTTGAATAAAATGGAAATGTAGGAAGGCACTTACTATCTGCCTGCCTCTAACTCATCTGTAAAAAATGCCTAATAGATGGTAATTTTAGTTTCTGACACAGCTTCCTCACTCACTTCCAGGATGTTTTACTCCTACAAAGTACCATTTGTGTTCCACATGAGCCTTTTTTTACTTTGCTCTCAGTTAAAACTCCATACTAGAGGAGAGCTGTTGAAGCTAATGATAAAGTTTTTGCAACTTCTACCTTATAAAACATTCACAAGTTTACCTAAAAAAAAGAAAAGGAAAAGGTTCAAAACAGAGGTTTACTGCTTCTTCTGCTTTCAGGCTTGGCCCTTTTGTATTCAGTTGTGCCCTGCAGGCACAAGGTGTAATAATTACATCTTCAGAGAATTGCAGCAGATATTTGGCCTAGGGTGCAGAAAGCCATGAAACCTCAGACTGGATAAACCAGTATGGAGAACAACAGAATGAAGTGTTTTGAACAACAACATGGTCACTTGTTGGCATTCAACTCTCAGCTTCTAAGTCTTTGGCTTTCTTTTGCAAAACACGTTTGCAATTCAACTTAGATAATTCCTTCCTTAAAAAAACTTCAAACCCAAAATTCCAGAAAAGATATGAATTTCAAACCAACAATCAATCTCACATGTATTTAGGTTAAACTCAGCCTTACTTTACCCACTGACTGTCCTCCTCTTTGGTGGTGGGCTTCTCTGCTAAGGTTGCAGCTGCTGTCAGCAGAACAAAACAAACTACAGAAGGAGTTAGCAGATAGGGTGCCATGTTTCTAATGGCAGGAACAATATTCCTGCTCCAACCCCATTCCTTGCAGCTGCTCATCTTTGTTCATCACATTGTTTAAAGCTAGTTGGTTTATTTGTTTTTTTCCCAACTCTTGGCCTTTTCATTGCAGAGCAGAGATGCTGGCTGGAGCACTCAGCCTCCCTCCAGGGCTTGGTCTGGTGCAGGGGGGCTATTGCCAGCCAGCAGGGTGTGATCAGAAATTCATGGCCAGTTCTGCCAAGGCAGCAGCCCACTAGCTGGTTGGGAGCCACCAGGGCTGTAAGCATTCCCTCCACTCACAGGCAGCTGTGGCCAGAGAAGGAGATTGGCCCAAAAAGATTTGCCTTTTGTGGACCAGAGCAGGAGTTCCTCCTCCAAGCATGCACAGGTTGGGAAGTGATGTGGGGAATGAGTCCCACCAGGATGGGACTGGCCAGAGGAACGGGTGTGGGTTGCAAGGGACATTTAAAGGTCATCTAGTCCAACTTCCCTGCCATGGGCAGGGACATCTTCAAGTAAATCAGGCTGCTGCAAGCCCTGTTCAGCCTGATCTTGAGTGTTTCCAGGGATGGGACACTTACGGCCTTCAGAATTTTCCACTGGAATGGCTTCCACCATGGAGAACAGAGATAGCCAGAAAATGCTGCTGAGAAAAGCCATGCAAGTAGTTCACAGAATCACAGAATATTCTTAGTTGCAAGAGACCCCAAAGGATCATCAAGTCCAACTCTTAGCCCTGCACAGGACATCCCCCAAATGTCATATCATGTACTTTCTGCTTAGCTTACCCAAAACACAGACTTGAAAGGTCTGCTCTAAATAGTACAGTGTTGAGAAGTTTGGGTTAGAGTTAGGGAAGAACAGCAAAACCTGAGTATTTTTTCTTGGACAGTAAGTAACCAAACTCAAACACCTACAGGAAAAAACCAGAAAAATATGAGTTTATATAGTAACAAAATCCATAGATGTGAGGGTTTTTTTTTTCCTGGAGGACACAGCACAGGGTTTTTGTTTGATTGTTTGCTTTTATGTCACCATATTGCTATTTCAAATTATTCCACTTTATACCATTTCAAGAGGTGTGCTGTGGTAGGATGTACTTTGTGTATCTTGTGGTAAAACACACTTTTGTGCATCAAGATATGGGGGCACCTTCCTTGGTGCCCCAGAGACCAGAGAAGAGGAAGAACGACCATCTGTCTACTGCAGTCTCCTATGGAAGTGTTTTTCCTCCAGAAACTACCATTGTTTCAGTATTCAAAGATTCTTGTGATGGTAAATCAGGTACAATTACCAGCTGATGGTACATCTAGAAGGATGAATGAGACCATTTTGGAGGTGAGAATGTAATAGGAGGAGATCTTGGGGCAGGCAAGATAAATTGCAAGAGAGACTAAAACTGATTACAGAGCCATGGGACTGAAAACTCCTTGTTCAAGAAGAATGCATGCTAATTGTTTTTGGCAGAATAAATTATTTCTTTTTTTTCTGCTTCAGTAGAACTGGTTGACTTTTAACAACTCAATTATCTTCTCTAAGTGAGGAGGGTGGTCTCTTGAGGTCAAGGAGAAGTTACATGTAGAAAGAAAGGACAAACAGAAATGGACAGAAATTGAAGTGCCCTGAGATTGCATGCATGAGTTTCATTAGGTACACTTTTCAAAACTGCCATGGAAGGAAAAAGGGAAGAACATTTTGGTTCAGGTTTTGTCAGCATCATGGGGAAGGTCAGGTGAGAGATAAAAGATTAACAGCAGTAAGATCATGAGGTTGAAAAAAATGTGTACCAATTTCTCTCCAAGAGGTTGAAAAAAATGTGTACCAATTTCTCTCCAAGAGAATGACCGGACAGAGTTACTCTATAAATGCTAGAAATCACAGAGCTGCTGTTAGGGAATGGGTCTGAAAAATATTATTGAAAACCAGCAGCATAAAAACTGAGGATAAGATAAACAGCAGCAACTGATCCAGTCGTAATGTGGTCAGGTAGCAGGAAGCACATTTATCCTTTGAGCAGTACAAGAGGAGGAGGAGGACTGAGGCATTTGTCTTGGCAGGAGGCCCATGAGAAAGTGAAGGGCCAATGAAAGGTCTGAGGCGAGATGGAAGACTGAAGAGAGAGAGCTGTCCTGTGAAGATGCTCTGTTTTGAATTACTTAGGCCAAGAAATGAAGGCAAACCACTTTGCTTACCTGGTCCAAACACAGAAGAAGGAATATTTAAAAGGACATGAGAAGGTAAGACTCCCTAGTGTGAGAATCACAATTGTATGAGGTGAAAGAAAGGGGAAGGAAAGAGCAGGAAGCCAAGAAGAAGGCTGAAAGTTGTGGTAGGCTTTTGGTGCATTAGGCAAGAAGCTTTATTGTTTTGTAAGTGTAATTAATAGCTTAGACTGTCAAGGAAACATGATCAATTTACTGTATTTATCCTTCCTGCTGTGTCATTCTTCTCATTTTACATTTATTTAGTATTTCTGGAATATTTTTAAAGACATTAATTTCTCAAAGATTCAGCTAAAAGGGGCTTTTCTTAGGCTTTGCAGATGTTATGGTGCAGGAACAGTGAAGAATGTACTGTATTTACAATTCTATTCCTGTAAAAGATAATCAATACATTGTGCTCTGCTGTGTTATGGAAAAAAAAAAAAGGAGTATGAGTGCCCAGCTGTGATGATAAGCCCTTTGTGTCTTGAGTGCACTCATTTTCTAAGGATTAGGGGCTGTCCTTTATCAGGCAGTTCACTTCTGAAAGTCCATGATAGATTGCTGCTTTCCCCTCTGCTCCAAACAGCAGCAACCTCAACTTTATCAGCAAGGAAACCCCCAAACACTGCTGTCAGTAAGTAATGCAGAAATATTGCTTTCTCAGGGCAGACTCTCACAGGCAAATCTTACCTTTTTCTCTGGAGCAATAAAAACTGCTGTAGAAAGAGGACTTTGGATGTAAGGTATTTACAAACAGCCATTTCTTTCTTTCTTTCTTTGCAGGGAGGGGGAGGGTTGGGCTTTTGGGGTAGTTATTTCCTTTGTGCCCAGGCTGAAGTGAAATGGTCCTTCAGCATCCATTCTAATGTACTCATTTATCTAGTGCTGGAAGAGTTAAGGGTAAATGGGACTAAGGTCTAACACATAAAGAAATGTTTGCCAGCAAGAGATGTTTTAGCAGGTTAATGAGGAACTTGGTAACAGCCTAGCAGGGTCATTGCAAAATCACATTTCTTTTTGCTGAAATCACTTTAGTCTTTTAAAACCACAGGAAAATGCTTTGCTACTTTACAGGGAGATTTGGTTGAATTGAAAATGGTGTGGAGACACCTGCTATTTTTGAGTATTTTTAGCAGATGTAGGAAAAAATGGTGTGAAAATGGACATCTCCACTGGCTCCTGCAGTCAGCAGGCCAGAAGGGAAGGGGAAAGGGCCTGAATTTTGTCTGCTCAGATTTGCTGCACCCAGTTTTTTTCTGGAGAAATTACAAGGATAACTTCTCTCACTGACAAGTCATACTGCACCGAGGCTTTGCCTATAACACAGGAGGTACTGAGAGTTATCACGGATATGGCTCTAGCATTCAAAAGTCACACTGTGCCCAAGTGGCCTGAGAAAAGAGAAGCAAGACTTGTGTGGGTGCTTGGAGTCACAGCAACACTGGGCAGGCCTGCACACTCAAAGGCAAGGGGAGAGTCTGGCTTTTCTTCAGCCACTGAGTCCAGTTTTGGGAAGGAAATAAGATTTGCAGTTGTGGCCACGCACTCAAAAATTTTATGTGTCCCAAGTGTTATGCACAGTTACGCTGCCCTGCAATGTACCTGCAAGTTTGTCATCAGAAAAGAAACATAACCCTTTAAGACAGCTGCTTTAGTTTATTTTCTCTTTTTAATTTTTTTCTTGGAGGATATTTGTTTACTAACTCAGGATATACTGCAGATTGTAGGGAGAACAGAGTTTTACAGGCTTGCTTTGTAATCTCAACAATTTTTTTGCAAGGGAGCAATTGTAATGCAGAGATGTCTGGGTGAGATACCTGAGTAAAAGCATTCAGTTTGGCTCTGCCACTGCACTGCCACATATGGCTGAAATTATTCTGCTGAAAAACAAGGTAAACTTTTCCTCATCAGTTCTATGCTGCTGCAGCCATCCCAATACTAATTGCAACACTGCAACACTGTCCACTGTTTAGGTAGATTTTCTGGGGAAAAAGAGATTATTAAAAGTATATGAGACCTCAAAATGTGTGGCACTTCTCTTCCATTTTTTTCACTGGTCCTGAAAATTCTTCTCTGAAAAACAAGAGCTACAACAATTATAAGACTCAGCTTTTCAGCTGGGTGATCTAACAATTCATCCAGGAAGCAGGTTTATGTGGTCATGTGTGCAGGAACTAGGGCTCTTAAAAATTAGTTGTGGCATAATTATTTACTTTAGAAAAACAGTATTAACTTTTACTCACCACTTCTCTTCCTCTACTTGAACTCCTATGGACTGGAACTTACTGGTTGCTTTATTATCACCTGGTATGGTGGATTCTTCAGCACCATCAACCTTTAAAAAACCCCAAAACATGACAGGCAATTAGAATGTATTTTAGCAGAGGTATCAGCTGGCTACTTGCAGTTTCTATGCACCTTAACTACTGAGTGTCTGCACACAGAGCTTGTACCATGGGCTCCTTCATCTAGTCAGTTTTTCTGTGGTGCGCTCTTTTCTGATGTTATTAGTGAATATTCATTATTCTTAATTTATAAAGCATTTCTGTAAGACAACATCCAGCCTGCAACATGCACATGGATTTTATCTGGTATTTTATGGAGGCTGGATGTTCACATTTGTTAGAGCACATCTCTGAGCAGCTGTAACTCCAGGTATTGTGCCTCACCATTTGATTTTACCTTCTATCTGTTTGTGCATGTGTATGTGAACTCATATCAAAATCAGGTGTTTATTTTGTTTAAATGTTAGTGCCTCAAATCAGAGCACTGCAGAGGAAAGATGTTAAGAAAGCAGATATGAGTCTTAGATTCATTTTCTTTACTGCTTTGTCTTGCAAACAGGTGGTTCCCAGGAGCACAGGCTGGAACTTAATACCACATCTCCAGCTCCAGCTCCATGAGGAGAGTTGTGCCAACAGTATAAAGTTAAAATTTAACCACAGATGTGTCTTTGAACAAAAATCACAATATTCTGGGTCCAATCAGTGTAGCTGTTAATTCCCAATGCTATATATAATATGGATAGTCATGCAAGAAAAACATTTTGCAGCAGACAGAATTTTTGGGCCAGAGCAGTGTTGTGAAGTGACCTGTAGCCTCAAACTGACCATGGGTGTGCAAAATATCCAGCTCTAGTGGCTGTTCCACCAGCAACTTCTTGTTGAGAGCCACTTGACCAACCTGTGCAGGAAAAGTGCTCAGAAGCTGTTCTGTGAGGTGAAGTACTTCCTTGATACTGGGGTTCTGGGGAATTAAATACACCTTAAATCCCATAACTGACAGAGTGAAGCAACCTTTTGATGGAAGGGCTTTTCTTTGCTTGACTTTGCTTGTTTGCTCAGCAGATTTACAGCAAAGGCTTGCAATGTCCTAAGAGTGACTGACAGGTGTAGAGGACACACATGGAGGTTCACCAGAAGTGCACACTGGGTTTGTTTGGCTGAGGAGGAAGAAAACCAAGAATATACCTGTGGCTATTGCAGCTTGTGCTGCTCTACAGAGATAGGTTGAACTATCATCAAGGTGTATACTTGGTCTGAGTTCAGACTAAGCCTGGACCAGGCTCCCTTTACTCAGTGAAGAGAGACTGACTTCTGCCAGTCAGAGGGCTGACAGTGTACCTACCTGTTTTAGGGCAGTTGTTTGTAAGAGGAGTAATTTCTGGCATCAACACCTACCTTAAGGTATTTCTACTCCCACACTACCCCTTCAGCTGTACCAGCATGACTGCTTGTGCAACGATGCTGCAAAATGGATCAGACAGCAGACTAGTAAAGTCAGTTTCTTTTATCTGTGAAGCCTGTCTGACTTTAAAAAGCTCATTGATGTGCACAGCTGAGAGGGTGGCACCACACACAGGCAGGAATCCTGTAAGGCTGCATCACTGCTGAGGGTTTCACTTCATGTCATCCCAGCTTCAGGTGGTTTGTACCACATCTTCATGGGTTTGTACACAAAGCCTGCCTCGGCACACTCTCATGTACCACCCCCAGATTTCGTTATTATTTCATGTGGTTACACTGGTCATCTGTAAACTTCAAAGTTTAAGACGGAGATTGTCAAAGGCTTGAAGAGCATATGGAGCTCTGTTTTCTTCAGATCTCAGGAAACCGAGGCCTCTATACCTTTCAAATGCAGCATTTGTTACTTGCAACACTACTTTAAGAAGAAATAGCAGGGAGATGGTCTCTTAAGAACCGTGATTTACATTGCCATTGATCATTTTGGCTTCTGCAAACATGGAAATGATTTCCTTGTACCCATTGCTTTGTGGGGTCTTTGCTAAGAAGTCTTGGTTTCTTGGATTGGTGAAATAAGGGATTACAATAATATAATGGCATTTTAGGCTTGGCTAGGAATGAGAATACATAACAGAGGAGTTTTTCTCTATCCCTGTCCCACCTGGATCTTTCTCCTGTGTTTAACACTGAACATCAGCCCTTCTTTCAGAATATACCCAAAAGAAACAGCTGTGAAGCAGTAAAAGTCTACAACAAAGGCAGTGAAGTGAACCCACAGGAAATAGTTATTATTGCCCTTCCAAGAAGAATTGAGAGAAAAGTCACAGCTTCTCCAGCAGCTACCCCTGGGATGGCATACTTCAGCATAGCGCCTCTCATCTATCTCATCAGGGTGATGTAGAGATTTCATGGTAAATTCTTAGACTTTACTAATCAGATAAGCCTGTCTAGGCACAGAGTGCTGTGCTTACAACCACCTTCTGCAAGAAAAAAAATATTTGTGTCTTCCTGTGAAGGCTGATAAGCTGTGGATTGCTGTTCTATTTGCTCAAGATTCATCTCCTGTCAAAACTTGTGTTGATTCTCAGTTGATTTTAAGTTCAAGCACTTTGTTACAAAGCTAATTCTGCAAACAGACAGTTGGGAGTCCTATGCACATCTTTTTTTTTGGGGGGGGTGGGGAGTAGGGGGTGGAAAAGATAAATTAAGAAAGCTGATTACACAAGACTAGTTTATTTACTCTTGTCCTTTCTGTAAACATGAATGAACTTTAGCAGGGTTAGTTTTCTTCTTTCATTCTACTAGGGGTAACAAAATGTAATTTTCTTTAACAAGGGCAAATCAGAAGGAACTTATCTTCTGTTCCTGAGGCTGAGATAGGAACAATGCTGCCTCATTCAAGTGGCTACCAGTCATTATGAAATGCATGAATAAGCAGCAACAATTAATTCAGTGAGGCTGGATGAAAATATTTTTTTGGTGGTAGTGTAATGTAAATCATTGTTTTACACATTCCCTTTCAATGATTTAATTCATGCCTTTCTGACCCCCGCTGTGTTATGATTCATAGATTAGTGCTCATGTGTGTAATTTAACAGAGCTGAATAACAAGCAGCACAGAGACTCAAACAAATGCTTGCATCTGATGTATTTATGATAAATTAGGAAAACATCATTAGTACCATGCAGAATGATTATGCTGGTGCAAGTTCTACATAGGTACCTGTCAGGACAGGAAGAAAAATATACAAAACATTGTATAATGAGCAGTGAAACAGATGTAGGAATCCAAAACAATGGCAAGCATATAATGCATGGCATGTACTGTACCTGTATTCCAATAGATAAGCATCTGTTTTTCTTGAAGAGGTCCTTCTTCCTGTCTTCTACTGCAACAGTGGCAATGGTTGTGGTGGTGGTGACAGTGGCAGTATTGTTCCCTACATGTTGGCTTGCAGGGCCGTGGATCTGCGCATTGGCAGCTTCAATTGCAGCTGTCAGTGCCTTCATACTGTCCAGGCTCTCCGTGGAGTTGCTAAGTCCAGACTGGCTGATGATATCTCCCCTCTGTCCATGCCCATCCATGTAGGCATCTTGGGCAGACTCCGTGCTGCTCTGGGCTGTGATGGAAATAAAGGGTTTGGTGGTGGTTCTCGGTGGGACTGGAGGTGGCGTCTTCTTGTAGGTGGTAATGCAGGATGACACTGGAAAAACATAGCAGAGTTCTTGTTTTATTGATGCTGAAAAAATGGGGAAAATGGGTGCAAATGTGATCTCAAAGCATCAATAAGCATGGACAGAGCAGAGGTGAGGAGGAGGCTGTTAGCCAAAGTGCCCCCAAATGTCCATCTAAGTGCCAATAGTAATGCCCTGCTTAGCAGTGTCTTCCATTCCTCCTATGTGAGCGGCAGAATTGCTAGTAGGGCAAGCTGGGAGAGAAAGTATCTATTTGCCAAGTTCCTCCTTAGTCTTTTTAGGACTGTTTTTCTCAATATATTTTCTACCAACTGTTCTAAGTCTCATGGGAATAAGACCTTCCACCAAAATGTTTGCTCTGCTTATGGCTCCCAAACAAGATTCACAAGAATGCTAAGTCTCCATCCACTTATCCCAGCTAAACTGTACTTCAAGCAGTTTTATTGCAAATGTTTTCTACCTCTCTACCCTGTCCTACTATATGCAGAATTTCAAGGCACATTTTTCTGATGAGAGAGAGATTCTCAAATTATTGTTTATCAAAGTTTGTTAACACTTACTGTGCTTGGATTTGTTTATTTCTTTCTATAAAATGCCTCACTTGTTGCACAGACTTCTCAAATACTTTGAAATGCTTTGTAAGTTATTGAGGACATATTTAAAAGAACATTTTGCCATGCCTAATTTCTCACCATAAATATAACAACAGTTCTGGAAAAAAATTTGCTTGATTTTACACACAGGGAGTTAGTTTAATGTAGTCAATGGCTAAAACCTGTCAGTAAAGTGTAAGTATAAATGTATGCAATAACAAAGACTTTTATTAAAGTTCATATTTTGAAGGCCACACTCTCTTTGTAAGTGCTGCTATGTGAAGTTATAAGCTCAGCTTGAGGTTCCCAGGTTAAACTACTGTTCTATATATACAGAACTACATACAGAAAGAACTATATGGAGATTAAAACATCTTGCTTTAAGGGTTAGTTGGCAGCTCTGCATTACTGAAGTCCTGGAATGCTTTCAAGGGAGGAAAGAAAGCCCATTAAGAACAAAAAACAACCATGATATTCTCTATTTTTTAACAAAATAAAATGCAGGCATGAACCTGTGCAAAGTTCAGACACAGACTTGTTAACATAAATTCTTATTAACAGTAATCATATGGCAAGAAATGATTCATCAGATCATTTTAACTGGCAGACGTCTATGCCACCCACATAAAAGGTAACTCTGCTACAGCTGTTCTGCTCTCTGTTTGCACTGTACCTGCTTGTCGAGCCAGAAGCCATTATGGTATTAATTTGACTAGCTCACATCCATATGCCTCATATCTCCCCATAGCTGTAGGAATAGTTACAGTGTGAAAGGTGTTTCCAGGGCATGAAATCACACAGGATTTTTTTAAAGACTCTAGAAAAGTTTCTGATAACATGTCTGAACCCATGTTAAACATGTTGAATACTAATGGAAAAAAAGTGTTTCAGGCAGTGAGGGTTTTGAAACTATGATTCACTTCTGAAGAATCAAACTGAAACCATGGCATCTCTGAGAGAAGAGATGTCTAAAAATGGACTTGTCAAATTTTAACTCTGGGGAAGTGAATAGTTAATAGAGTTAAAGGTGTTTTATAAAGTGCTCATGACAAGGTCAATACCTGGAACTAACAGAAAGGATGACAGTTTTACAAAGGGGATTATAAATGTTTTGCTGTTTGTCACTGGCTTTGGTTCTGTCACAAAGCATCTGTTGTGACAGCAAATGCAGGTAAACCAGCTGCTGTTGCTGCTGCACAGTCATGTAATCCAGGACTCATGGAGAATTGTGGAGTCGGGATACCCCAGAAATATTCCCGGTGGTTCATTGTTAGGAGAATGTTCTCTGAGTTGTGGAAATGCAAACTGAAATTCAGCACAGAGGAATTCAAAGCACACACACATATGCATATATCCAGGTAACACTTTGGGAAGTTGCTGCCAAACTTGTCAAATGGAGGTTCATGAGCAACGCCACTTTGCAATTCAGCAAAGTATAAATTGTACCGTTTAAAATATGCTGGAAGGGTACTGGGGAACTTCTGGGGACATGCCAGCACCTTCAGTACACCCCAGTATGGCACATAAGTATCATTTTTTTACACAGCAGAGAGGGAAATGATAATGAAGCACACTTGAAAAGGCGTCTTAGGTAGGAGAGAGAGCATCAGAACCAAAGAGCAAGCCTTAACAAGACAGGTCCTCCCATCACTGGGCATCCTGCACTAGAAAGAAAGTCAATAGCAGCTGTCTATTGACAGCTACCATGTTCTCCGGACACAGCAGTACAAATACAGAATTGCCTGATTAAGTTTTCTTTCATTCTGTTGGTAAATGTACTCAATGAGGAGTATAATCCACACCGCCATGAAAGATGTTTGCACTCAGCTAATTAAATCTGAAGTTATTCTTAAGAGGGGGAGAGGACTGACAAGTCACATGGTGAAATTGTAAAGAGAAATAGCAAAACGTTCTTTTAGCAAGTCAAAACAAATCCTCGGTTTCCTGGAGTCACGCAGCACATACTGTACAGCTCCAGAGAAGCAGAGTGTGCAAGTCATAAAAGAACCCCAGGCACTTCATTACTGAAAATGATGTAAGCTCCTGCCTCTCCTCTGCAGAAACGGCACAAAAACAATGCTGGGGCCGCCGCTGTCGGAGGCAGCTGCGCCCAATGCCGGAGCTGGCTGAGCCGCTGAGGCACAGCAAGGAAAGCCCTGGGGCTGGCCGGGCCATCCGAGCTGCTGGGGCACGGCAATGACAGCCTTGGGGATGGCCGGGCCCTCCGAGCTGCTGAGGCACTGAAATGGAAGCCTTGGGGATGGCTGGGCCATCTGAGCTGCTGGGGCACTGCAATGAAAGCCTTGGAGCTCACCGAGTCCTCTGAGCCGCTGAGGCACGGCAATGGAAGCCTTGGGGATCACCGGGCCCTCCAAGCTGCTGAGGCACTGCAATGGAAGCCTTTCGAGGCAGCAGCTCTTCTTCGTGCTCGCTCAAGTACCAGGCAACCTGTGTCAGGACAACCCGAAGCATCTGCGGCTCTTCAAGTGGCCACGGTATTTTGAATGCTAAGCTGCCCAAAAAACAAAACGAGTCCTCCCCCAAAAAATGGTCAGAAGGCTGGCGCTGGCCTTGTGCAGCCGGGAGAGCCTGAGCATTCAGTTGGTGCAGGGAGAGCAGGCCTGTTCCCCTGCACTCATCTCTCCAGCTCTCCTGCGGCAGGAGGACCCCGAGGGAGAGCACGACAGGACCACAGGACACGTGAAAAATTTGGAGAAATCCTCACTTCACACACAGGGAACTTGCAAAGTATGAAAGCTTGTTTAATTCATACAAGGAAGTGAATTTAAAGAGCCGTATAAATTCCCTGATAAATATGTTCTTGGACACAGATCAAGGAGTGAAGTTCTGTACGGAAACTGATCAGACTGGAGAGTCAAGTCAAAGTAGTCTCGTGAATCATTAAAATTGTTTAGATATGGAGTTAATCAGAAATCTCTTGTTCTGAATAGTAAAAGAACCTCAGTTTGACACAACATAGACTAGTTTCCACGGTTTTTCCAGAGAGCACATGCAACTGAAGCAGGTACACATTCCTGTCCTAGGGCATATGCAAGGTTTAATCCAGAAACTAGTTAAGTCATGCACAAGAATCCTCAGACAGCCAGACCACTTTGAATCAGGCTCACTGTTTCCAGTGCATCAGTCCTCCAAGTTATGCTCTCCTTTTCCTTTTGATCTTTACCCTATTTCTGTGTATTGCCTTCAGGTTACAGTTTAATCCCAAATACCTAGTGAAAAAAACCACTTTCTCCAGATTAAAAAAAAAGAAAAAAGAAGAAGCCATGGTTTTTGTCTTCCTAGCCAGTATCTCCAAACAACTAGCTCATGAGACAGGAATTTGGAACAGGGAGTGTCAACCACCCAGTTCAGAAGGAAGTCTAATGATAAAAAAAATAATCCCAGATTGCATAATAATAAGGGCTTGAATTTGAATGTTTCATTGTACTTCAGTTGTTTAAACATGCTCACTAGGGGAGATGAGCCCTCAGGAATAAACATCAGCATGCAAACACAAATTTTTAGCTGAGTGAATGGGTGCTCAGGAGAACCCCAACACAGATTAGTATTTGTGAAGGGATCAAATTCATGCAGTGCTTTGAACAGTTCAGGTGATGAGACACATCAGTAATATCTTTCTAACTTGGTATTCCTATATAAACTTGATTCACAACAATAAATGAATGCACAAATTCAAGTAAAATAATAGTGTTTCTTCTGAGAAAAAGCACAAACCCCACAGTTTGAAAGGAGCAACAAATGACACAACTTTCTCAGCACAAGAAAGATGTGGACCTGTTGGAGTGGGTCCAGGGGAGGGCCATGGAGATGATAATTGGTTGAAGCACCTCTCCTGTGAAGGCAGGCTCAGAGAGCTGGGGATGTTTAGCCTGGAGAGGCCTTCCAGTATCTTAAGAAGGAGGGAAAAGGATTTTTTGTATGAGCAGATAGTGACAGGAAAAGGGCAGTGGTTTTAAATTGAAAGAGGGCAGGGTTAAATCAGATGCTAAGCAGAATTGACTCCGAGGGTGGTGAGGCACTGGAGGTTGCCCAGAGAATGTACGGATGAGCCACCCCTGGAAGTGCTCAAGGCTGGGCTGGATGGGACCCTCATTTACCTGGCCTAGTGGGTGGTGTCCCTGCCCATGGCACAGGGATTGGAACGAGATGATCTTTAAGGTCACTTTCAAACCAAACCATTCTGAGTCAATGGTTCTAACTTGCACTCAACTAAGTATGAGGATAAAAAGCAGGAGTTCTTCCAGGCTGCACAGATGGACATCAGTCTTCTGATTTACCGTCTGTTGAATGGGTGTGTTAACAGTGGTGCCCTTGTACCTCACACAACTGCCCCACACAAAACACAGATATAGGCAGATCTCAGCAGACCCGAGCTTCAGTACTGCAGCCTTTGG